CGAGGATGAACCAGAGGAGCAGAGGCAGATCAGGGTCCGGCCTGAGCCCCCAATGCCCTGGCAGCTAGGACAGGGTCAGCGTAGCTCTGTGGGGCAGGCGGCCTGGGATGGAGCCCCAGCCCTGCCCTCATTAGCAGGGTGCCCTCATGGGAGCAGTCTTGCCCCTGGTCCCTCATCTTTTAAGGGGGCAGAAGAGTCACATCTGCCTCCTGAGCTCCGGTGGAGGAACTGAGCTGTTTCATGATGGCGCTGGCAGGGCCTGGCGTTTGTGAGCACAGCAGACGTCTTCACTGCAGGCAGGGCACGGGGCCACGGGAATGTGGTGACCCCATGCCTCTGAGTTGGGATCAGATGAAAACCTCAGGGGAATAATGCAGAGCTGGACCTCAGAGCAGGGCTGGAGGTGGAGGCGAGGGACCCTGGGGGGTGGGTTCCAGGTGAGGAGGCCACGGGGACACCTGATCAGGCGCCAAGGCCCCTGCCTCTGGGGACAGCTGCGGAGAGGGTGGGCCCGGCATCGAGGGCACAGAAAGCTGTCAGCCATCTACCCCAGCCCTGCTTCTGAGGGGCCGCCTCTCCATCCCACACTGGCCAGGACACCAGCAAGGAGGGGCACCCCGGGGGAAGAAGGGGGCTCTGACCCCTGACGGGCAGGCATGCCCCACGTGAACGGGACGCCTGCGCAGCAGAGACCTGAAGCAGATGCAAAAGAAACCCTCGGAGAAAAGCAGTGCCCCCCCACGCGGCTCCTGCCCCACCAGGCCTTCTTTCTCTGAATAGCCCAAACATGGTAATTTTATGTACAAATCAAGCCATGCACTATACATTTTTATGTTCTTAGGCTAACAAAGTGACTTTGGATCTATCAGAGGCGCTGAAAGAAAGCAATTCCGTATATTCCTGCCCCTGAGCAGCCCTCCTGCCCCTCATCCTCCCCGCCACGGCCCTGGCTGTACCCGGCCCACGCCCGGACACACGGCAGTGGCCTGGTCACCATTGGAACGGCGAGCCTGGCCCTCCACTACTGACTTCCTCTGACCTCCCAAAGCCCCTCTGACGCGCACACTGGTGAGTCCTTGGTGGGGCACTTGGAGGCCGCGGAGGCTGTCATCTTCTGCATCCCTATGGCAGGCTCTCTGCACGAGCCGGGCGGATTCCTCTCCCTTCCTTGAATATGTCATGCCCCTTTGTTTCTTCTCAAAGTGCCCCTCACCTGCCCTCTGAATCCCCTGGTGAACTCCTACACGCTCTTCAAAACCCAACCTGAAGGCCCCCTCCTTTGTTTAATTCCCCGTCAGTGAGCCGACAAAAGTGCTATTATGGAGCACACTTTGTGTAAGTTCTCTCTCAAAGCCAAAAGGGCAGGAGCACAGAGTTGGGAGGAGGGGCCGAGGGAGTGGAGGGATTCCATCTGCGGGTGGGGGCAGAGGGAGGGGCTGTGCCTGCGTGTGGGAGGTGTCCTGGTTTGGGGCTGGACTGTCCTGGCAGGCCTGGAGCCTGGCACAGTCAGCAGAGACAAGACCACAGAGGGCCCAAAGGCCCTGCATTCTGTCACCACTTAGCAGGTCCTGACTGTGGCCCCAAAGTGCTTGCGGCCTGGAGACCCTCACAAGCCCGATGCTGACCTGCTGCCCTGCCCCCCGAAGGCCCTTGTTGGGTCCTGGGTAAGGTAACACATTGGTGAGGAAGGGACCTGGACCGATACCAGGAGGCTGCTGCATGACCATGGCCAATACCCTCCTTATCTGGCCGCCCTGCGGGGAGATCGTCTGACTTCTGTTCAGATCCTGGCGGCCCTGGCTGGCTGTGTGACCTCAGGGGGCAGATGGGCCTCTCAGAGCTCGAGGCCATCAAGTGGCCAGGACGGTGCTGTGGCGTGCGGGGTAGGGGGGCGGCTGACCCGTGCAGAGGCTATGATGCAGGGTCCAGGCTGGCGGGAGGGGCTGACCCGTGCAGAGGCTGCGATGCAGGGTCCAGTCTGGCGGGACACGGCTGACCCGTGCAGAGGCTGCGATGCAGGGTCCAGGCTGGCGGGAGGGGCTGACCCGTGCAGAGACTGTGATACAGGGTCCAGGCTAGTGGGACGCGGCTGGCTCCTGCAGGGTCCAGGCTGGCAGGAGGTGGGCCCAATCCGGACATGTGTTTCTTGGTTTCTACAAAATGAAGACTTGAGCCGGTGTGGCCCGTGTGATGCATGAGTCTGGGGCATCCTTTGTCTTCCCTTTGACCTCTGAGTGGAGGAGGTAAGTCTTGCTATTGATGGGCGTTCTGACAGCAGGCAGTGTCTGGAGCCAGAGGCAGGTGGTTCTGAAGGTGGCATGGAGTCAGATCGGGCCCCCAAGGCCCGGGTGGGGTTGACGGTGGGTCAGGAGGCCTCTGGCATCTGCTGCTCTGGGCTGTCCTGCTGACCAAGGCGCCTCCCCAGCATGCTCCTGACCTGGGCAGAGTGCATGGCAGTGAGGGCCGGCTCAGGGCGGGAGGGAAAGACGGGGTGCCCAGGTCTCTGCTGTGCTTAGCTTAGCGGCTCCCACAGACTGGTTCAGTTTCGCACCAGTGAGTCCCAGTGCCCCACTCCTCCCTCCCTGCTCCCCGCTCCTTCTCTCTCCTTCCTTCCCTCCCTCCTGCTCTCCATCTTCCTTTCATGTCTTTGGCTGTCAGCTCCATCCCTGGGCTGCGTCCTCACTGTGAAACCAATGATGCAGTGCTGAGGCTGCCATTGTGGGGACCCCCGACGGTTTGACCCCAAGTGTGCTCCCTGTAAACTCTGCTCAGGGAACGGGCCCAGCATGAGCCGGGAGTGGGGAAGGGTTCTCTCCTGACCTGGAGCTGGAGAGCAGGGGGCTACTGGACCCAGGTTGGGAGCTGGGACCACCCTGGGAAGGCGGCTGGTGGGAAGAGACAGCAGTGACCACAATCCCAACCTTAAACCTGGAGGGTCCCCACAGACTGCAGCCCCCTCCACCCAAGGAAAATGGCTCTAGAATGGGGGGCTGGGATCCCTTACACAAAGACAAGTTTGTGGAAGTCACAGAGGGATGTCCTCGCCAGTGGCGTGTTCATAGTATGGATGTTTGAACTGGAAGGACCTGGGTTTGAATCCTGGCTCTGCCACTGAAGAGCTGTCTGAGCTTGTTCAGTTCTCACTCAGCCTCTGCGAGAGCTGAATCATCACCCTTTCTATGTACACAGAGGCTTTATCCTGCAAAACAGTCCTTTGAAGGACTCCTATTCACCCTTCAAAACCCTGCTGCAATGCCACCTCATCCAGGAACCTGGTGAGAGGACTGACTCCCCGGGTGTGCCGCTGTGACCTTGCTCATGGCTGCTGTCACTCTGTGGCCTCCTTTCTCTCCCACCCAGCTTCAACACCCTGAAGTGAGGGCTGTGACTTACTCATCCCTACATTCAGCACCTCCGGTGCAGGCCGGTCCCAGCGCTCACCTTTTAACACATGTGCTGAGCACGGCTGGGCTGCAGGCATCACGGGACCCCCCTGACCACCCAGCGCTGTGCCCTGCCCTCTCCAGGACTCACATAGGCCCTCCAGAGCCCCCCCTTCCCTGTCTCAGAGTGACAGAGTCTGGGCACACTCATGCATGCATACCTACACATGCACACACACACACATGCACACACACCTGCACACCCACACACGTGTGCATACACACGCACACACATGCACACACACTCATGCATACATACCTACACACTGCACACACATACACATGCTCATGCATGCACACCTTCACACACAATCTCATGCACACACATGCACGCACACTCATGCACACATACCAGTGTATATGCTCACTCACACATGTGCACAAAGGCATGGCAAACATGGCCTGGGCACTCAGCGGCTGTTCAAGAAAGACACTCTTTTTAAATCCCACCGTAGCTGGTCTTCCACTTAATCACCTGACAGGTGTGACTCCTGAAAGACACAAAAGGGAGAAAGCAGGGGGCTGGACCAGCGAAGGCCTCACATGAATGAGACGGAGTGTTTGTCCCAGTGGGTGTCCTCACAGGGCCCTGGACCGCCCAGGGGTGAGAGAGACAAGGACAGAGAGAGACAGAGCTAGGGAGAGATAGAGACTGGGAGAGCCTCAGAGAGCTAGAGCCAGGGAGAGACAGAGCCAGGGAGAGACAGAGCCAGGGAGAGACAGAACCAGGGAGAGACAGAGTTGGGGAGAGCAGAGCAGGTGACCTGGTTAACCGTTTAGGCGCCAGGTTTCGGGCGTGGTTTCCAGGCATTGCTTCTTGACTGGTATTGGAACCCCAGGAGATGGGCACTGTAGTCACCTTTCTCTAGGTGTGAGGTGGAGGTGTGGCGACTGGCCCCAGCTCAGGAGGACCATGTATGGGGTCCGCATGGCCTCACAGCCCATGCGTGGAACCCATTGCTGTTCCCTTTGATCATGCATGTGTGTGCACATGTTTCTGTGTATGCACGCACTGCCTGTGTGCACAGGTGTATACACATGTGGGGGCATGCATCTGTCTGCCTGTGTTCACTGGTGTGTGTGCATGTTTGCCATGCCTTTGTGCACATGTGTGAGTGAGCATATACACTGGTATGTGTGCATGAGTGTGCGTGCATGTGTGTGCATGAGATTGTGTGTGAAGGTGTGCATGCATGAGCATGTGTGTGTGTGTGCAGTGTGTAGGTATGTATGCATGAGTGTGTGTGCTTGTGTGTGCATGTGTATGCACACGTGTGTGGGTGTGCAGGTGTGTGTGCATGAGTGTGCGTGTGTGTGTGCATGTGTAGGTATGCATGCATGAGTGCATGTGTGTGCATGTGAGTGTGTATGCACGTTTGTGTGGGTGTGCATGTGTGTGCATGAGTGTGTAGGTATGCATGCATGAGTGTGTGAGTGTGTGTTTGTGCATAAGTGTGTGCACGAGTGTGTGCATGAGTGTGTGTGCATGTGCATATATGTGTGAGAGCATGTGGCCCTGCAGGCATTTGTGTGTGCATGTGTGCATGTGTGTGTGTACATGTGGGGGCACCTGCACGGGTGTGAATGTGTGTGTGCAGCTGCCTTGTGGACAGGCCGCATCAGGAGCAGGAAGTCAGCACTCAGTGGCATCGGCCGAGGAGACAGGACGGAGAGAGGCGACAGCAGGACCTGCAGGGTTCAGCCGGTGCCCAACGCTACCTCGTCCTGCCCTGGTTGCTTGATGAGCCCATCAGTTCCCCTTTGGGCCTCACCTGGGTTGGTTTGAGTTTCTGTCCCTGGCACCCAGGAGACCTGTCTGGGACAAAGCTGTGTTCGCCCTGCCTGGGCATCTCTCACGGTCACCTGTGTCTGTGAAGGAGGCTGGGATATGAGATCTTTGGCTGGACAGACATTGCTCAGAGGAAACTGTGTTTCTATAGAAAGAGGAGAGAATGGAAATCAACAGGACAGCTAGCCATTCTGTCACCCCACATGCAGGGCTTGACAATCCAGCTCCTGCTGGCGCGGCTGCCTCCCCGTGGAGCCCGGGCATCCCTGCAGCCAGTTCGCCTGGTGCCTCCTGGCCTGTGTCCATAGGGAGCCGGCCCTCTTCCTGGAGCACGTTCCGGCTCACACGAATCTGCACAAACCCTGGTCATCCTTCAGAGTCAGCCGAAGCACCCGCAGCGCAGGCAGCGGCCAAATGCCCTCACTGGAGATGCCCACTTCCTGCTCTTGGCTCCTGACAAAGCTTCTCCTTCCTCTGCTCTCGCACAGTGGAACTTCGTGTGAACTTAAAGCATCCCTTTCAAAGAAAGGGGCTGGATCCTCAGGTGGGTGCCACAGCTTCTCGGCGGGGCTTAGAACTCAAGGTCACTGCAGGTCTCTGGGTGGAGGGGCAAGCTCTTAGGTGTCCCCACCTCACCCCTCCCCAAGCCTCCAATCCATAGAGGAATTCCAGCTTGACTTGTTCTGGTTCCGGGACCACGAGGCCCCGCATTTGCTGGTGGGCAGCGTCGCATATGGAGGGGCTGCTCTCCTTTGAGTCCATCGGGTGCCTGACCTCTCTCGAGGCAGGTGGAATTTGTCAAGACTCCATATTTTAGGTTGGGACTTAGGGAGGGCCTCGATCTCCAGCTGGGACCCAAAGAGCAGGTGCATGGCCTGAGCTGGAGGCCCAGGGACAAGCTCCGCTGAGGACACATGGCCTTTCGCCCCCTTGGCGTATCTCCCTCACAGGCCTTCATGGGGGAGGCCTGGGGTCTGGGGTTCCTGGGTCCTTTACCGCCCACTGGCTAAGACTGGCCAGTCCTGCCATTTTTCCCAACGTTAAATAGGCATCAAATAGTTACTGAATGAATGATTGAAGAATTGATTGTTTAGTGAATTAATCCACTGCAGAATGACTTTGATGAATAAATGAGCAGGTGACCGTGGGAAACCAGGTGCAGTCCCCTGCCATATAGGCGTGTGCCATGTAGGCGTGTGCTGTGTGCAGACAGGTCCCTACAGGAGTGTTCTGTGCAGGCATGTGCCATGTACAGATGTGTGCCACACACAGATATGTGCCATGTAGGCATGTGCCATGCAGGCATATGTTCCATGTGCAGGCGTGCGCCATGTACAGGCATGTGCTGTGCAGGTGTGTGCTGTGTGCACACAAGTCCATATGGGAGTGTGCTGTGCAGGTGTGTGCCATGCAGGTGTGTGTTATATACCAGTGTGTGCTGCAGGATGCTCCAGCCTGCCTTGTTCCCACCCAGCCGGGTCCTGTCCTGGGCCTCTGGCTGAGCTCCGGGCCTCACCTTCTGTCTAGAGATGCTTCCTTGGAGAAGCCAGATGCAGCTGCCCTGGGGGTCTGGCTGTCTTTCTGAGCATGAAGCCTGGATACTTCTGGCCCCGGGTCTCCATCCCAAGCTTGTGTTGCTCCCCGTAAATGGTATTATTGACTTGCTAAGAGCTCTTCCTCCTGCAGGTCCCCGAGGACGCTCTGGTAAACAAGCTGCCCCACCTCCCAGCAGAGCTGGGACCTGCTGCCACCTGGGGAGATGCAGTGGCCTCTCGGTGGAAGGCACAGCTGGGACGTTGGGCAGGCAGGGTTGGGAGGAGGCCCCAACACTCTGGGACCCAGGCAGGCTCACCTGGCCTGCACAGCCTGGCACGGTGGGAGCCCAGGTGTGGGCACGTTTGCCAGCCCAGTCTCCTGTCCAGTTCTAACCCCCCGAATCATGGCAGGACATTGAAATCTCCTAACTGTGGGGACTAGCTCTCGGAACCTCCCAGGTAGGCAGCCTGTGGTGCCCATCCTGGCCCATAAGGACGATGCTCTCCTGGGGACTGCAAGGACTGCATGGTTCCAGGCGACCCCCCCCGCAAGCAGTCCTTATGGGACCACAGCTCTCTTTCCAGGTGGCCCCTCAAATGAACCCTAATCCTGTGCTGTTTGCTCTGCCAGGTCCTGTCCTGGACTGCAGCTGCAGTGTGCCAGGGCTGAGGTGCCGTGGCCCCAGAGGAACAGGCTGTGCCACCCTGTGCGGTCCAGGGCCCAGCAGCAGTGGCCCCCTGGGAAACTAGGCCTGCCCAGACCTGCCGCATCCCAGCCCACACTGTTGGCCGTGGGGTGCCCAGGACCCAGGGGCACCTTAAAGTCTGAGGGGCCCCTTGCTCATTACATCCTGGTTCACAACTGTCTGGGAAATAGATGGTCAAAATCTCAGGTTGCCAGGAGCCCCAAAAGCTGATGATGGTGATGATGGTGACAGGGATGGTGATGGAATGTGGTGATGAGATGGTATTGATAGTGGTGATGCTATGATGGTGGTGATGACATCATGGTGATGATGATGGTAATGATAATGATGATGGTGCTGGTAAGAATGGTGGTGTCGATGGTGATAATGGTGAGGGTGGTGATGATGGCAGTGGTGATGGTGGTGATGATGGTGGTGATGGTGATGGTGATATTGATAATAGTGGAGATGGTGATGGTAATGATGACAATGGTGAAAGATGATGATGCTGATGGTGGTGATGGTGGTGATGGTGATGGTGATGGTGATGGTGATGGTGGTGATGATGGTGATGGTGATGATAGTGATGGTGATGATGGTGATGGTGGTGATGGTGATGGTGATGGTGATGGTGGTGGTGGTGATGATGGTGATGATGATGGTGATGTGATGGTGATGGTGGTGGTGATGGTGATGGTGGTGATGATGGTGATGTGATGGTGATGGTGGTGGTGATGGTGATGGTGGTGATGATGATGGTGGTGATGGTGATGATGGCGGTGATGGTGATGGTGGTGATGATGGTGATGGTGGTGGTGGTGATAGTGGGGATAATGGTGAATGCAGTAGTAATGATGGCAATAGTAGAAGTTATTTATTGACCTTAAATAAATGGCAGCTCTGTGCCAAATACTTTGCTATGTATCAACTCATGTAAACCCCACAATGAGATAGATGCTAATATCTACTTTTTTTTTTTTACAGATAAGGAGATTGAGACCCAAAGACGGGCAGTCGCTTGCCCAAGGCCATGTGGCTGTTAGTGTTGCAGTCCAAATTTGAAGCCAGGAACACCTGCTTTCAGAGGAAGCTTCTGACAAAATACAGCAGACTGCCATGCCACCCTGTGTGTCCCCCAGAGATGCCACTTCCCCCAGCCTGTATGAGCTGCCCTGATCATTACTGCAAATGGCTGGATTCGTCTTTGTCAAGTTTGCACTTTCCCCCAAGTTTGAATTAACCTCGACATTAATTTGCTGATGAAGCGCCTGCGGTAGGTCATATAGCGTGAGCACCTGTGATTTCCGCGGAAATTATTGTAATGTGCTAAATGGGAGATTTAAAGGTTACTTGTTCCCCTGCAATCTATGAACTGTTATATGAAAAAGTCATAACTGAAATAATTGAAGTGTCAGAAAGAAAAAAAAGGATAAGAAATCTAATCAACAATTCTTATCCCTTACCTATTATCCTGATTTTATTTGGTATTTTGGCACTGCACCAATCCTGGAATATTGCGGTGGGCAGAGAGAGAGGCGAGGAGGGAGAGAGCCATAGATGCTGCAGCTGGGAGCCTGGTTCCTGGGGCCTGGACTCTGGTTTTGTGTAGACAGTGGGCCCCTCATCCCTGGAGGTATTCCTGTATCCCACGGGTGGTCTCCTGGATGAGATGCTGCGCTTGGTGACCCAGGAGATGCCCAAGGTGCTTTCTGGCTTTGAGCTTTTAGGGTTTTGGAGTGTTGGTGTCAGGTCCAGAGAAACACAGTGGCTTCTCCATGGCCACACAGCAACGTCAGAATGGGGTCTGAGCCTCGGCAAGTCCAGTCCTGGCTCATTCTGGCTGAGCTCAGGGAAGAGGAGCCGGGGAGAAGTGTGGCGGGTGGGCGGGGGTTAGGCAGGTGGGGAGCAGGAGAGGTGGAGACCAGCCTGGGCTGAGTGCGGGATGGGGAGGAGGGACGTGGGCTTAGGAGCTTTGAGGAGTTAGTGCTGCAGTTCACGGGAATGAATAATACATTGAAGGAACATTAAATGGCATCAAAGCCAGAAATGATATCTGGCCCGGAGCCCAGAATCTATAAACAGCTTGGCTTGGTCTTGGGGCCAGGTTTCCAGAGAATCCAGGTCTGGGCAGAGCACATCTGGCCTGAGGCTCTGGCCTACAGGAGGCCAGCGTTACAGGTGAGTAGAGGCAGGCAGCCAGCGGTGGGGTGTGACACCAGCTGATGCTGGCAGCCCCACTGAATGCTCAAAGCTCTTTCCTGCCAGGGCCCGACACCTCACCAAGCCTGGATTTGGGGGCGGGGCTGGGGATGGTGGGGGATTTGGCATGGCCCCGAGCAGCTGCCTCCTAACCTTGGCGATCAGAAGCGGCCAAGGGTCTTGTAAATGGGCAGCTTCTCACTCAGCAGGGTGGCGGGCCTCGGACGCTGCAATCTAATGCCTGCCCAGGTGGTGCTGGCTCTGCTGGTCCTCAGCCCACACTGAGTGGTGAGTCAGGTGAAGGCCCCACCGAGTTACACATTTTTTCTGGATTCTTTGCCACTTTAGACAGGGGAGCTTGTAGTTTCTAAAGCCATTGGTGCCAAACTGCTAAGATGTGCAGTCTGAAGGTTCTGGGCGCCTGAGACAGGATTTGTCTTGGAGGGAGCATGAAAGGAGAGTGGAGGCTGGGGCAGTAGAGCTCTGGGTTTGGATCTTGGCTGTCTCTTTCTTGCTGTGCCCGGGTCTGGATTTTGGGAATCTCTTTCTTGCTGTGTGCCCGGGTCTGGATTTTGGCTGTCTTTTTCTTGGTGTGTCTGGGTTTGGATCTTGTCTGTCTCTTTCTTGCTGTGTCCGGGTCTGGATTTTGAGAATCTCTTTCTTGCTGTGTGTCCCAGGGCAAGTTAATGAACCTGGCTGAACCATCCTTTTCTCCCCTGCATGGCGTGTGTAATACTGACGTATAGTATTACCTAGTACTACAGTATAGTGACACCTGAGCAGAGGCACAGTGATACCCAAGCCACAGGTGGGCAGGAGGAGAATAGGGAATGGTGACAGACAGTCCTTGGGGACGTGACCGACTTCGAGGCGGGGAGATGAGAGCTTATTCTTAGGGCTGCCTGAGGAGGGCTCCCAGCGGGGCTGGGCTCTGCTCTGAGGCTCTGGAGGGACCTGCCCTTGTGCCTGGACAGGCTCTGGGAGGGAGGCAGGCTGCCCCACTCAGTCGTTGGCCCCCTCTTGGCACATCAGGCAGGGGTCACTGGGGGGCTCTCAGCTGGAAGCTGCCTGAGGTGTGCTCAGGAGGATGCCCAGAGAAGGGGCCTGTCTGCAAGTCCACGCGAGGATTCCAGCAGCTGGAATGGAAGCCCCTTCTGTCCTCCCTCCTGGCCCCTTCTCCTTCCCCCAAACCCCCTTCCCCTCACCACCGCCCCTCTGTCATTGCAGACGTGACAATGTCACATTGTCCCTAATAGGGTTTAATTCTGCTTTGAGTGCCTGTATCCTAACTGCAAATGAGAAGACCCCTATTTCTTATTTATATATTTTTTCCATAAATAGAAGGAAACAGGCAACCAAACCCGGTGACGACAAACCAGTTTATTTCATTCTGGCCTGGGGCTGTGGCCGCTGGAGCTCCCTGGATGGAGGGGAGAAGCCCAGAAAGGGAACCCCCTCTTGGATGAGCTGAGCAGTCATTAAGGTCACCCAGGGATCCACAGGGTCTCACCCACCCAGCGGAAAGCCTCCATCCACTCCTGCCAGGTTCAGAGAAGGAAGGCCCGGGCTGCCAGCTGAGGGTACCTCTGTCCGCCTCGCCTCTGCCCCACACTCCCCTGCTGTGACTCACATCAGGCTTCCCCCCGGAGGCCTCTAAAACAGGTGACAGGGCCCACAGTGAACTCTGGGGCCACAGAGGTGAGTTCAGGCCCAGTCTGCAGGACAGGTGGGGGAGAAACAGGAAGGTACCCACCCCGCCTGCCCTGCTGGGGGCCCAGGGCAAGCCCCTGAGCCATGGGCAGCGGCAAGGACAGGGAGGCATGCTGCTGCTCTCGGTTCCTCCCTGCCAAGGTCCACAGCTATAACGTAGTCACTGGGCTCCAGGTGGCAGCTGCTGCACCTGGCGCTGTGTGTTCCCTGCCTTCTCCCCTGCAGACCGTCCACGCCCTCGCAGCCCCCATGCCCAGGCCCTGCCCTTTCAGGCTGTGGTTTGGGACCTCGTGAGTTTGTGAAGCAAGTGCCAGGCTCACCTGCACTGTCTCTTCCCACTTTCCAGAGGGGGAGACTGAGGCCAGGGGAGGTGAAGAAATAGCTCACCTTGTGTTCCACACTGGAAGGGGTGGGCTGGGGGCAAGGCTGGGGCCCTGAGAGTAGGGGTGTGCGAAAGATGGGAGGCTGAGCTCAGGGCTGACGGTGGACCCCCAGCCGCCTGGCTACAGCCCTTGATGTCAAGGTCAGATGTGACTTTTGGCAGGAAGTCATTCCAGGTCCCCGGGGAATTGACAGGCCCCTCACCCTGGGTGCCCTCTATTCCGGGTCACCTCCTCGATGAAACAAATGAGGGCTTCTGGTGGCAGACGCCGCCCCTGAGAGCTGGGAGGTCCTGGACAGAAGCCGGATGGCAGAGCCAGGGAGAGGAGCTCTGGGGCCAGGCTGGAGAGGCAGCCACGGGCTCCCTGAGAGCACTGGGACGGGCGGGACGGGCCTCTCACCTGCTGTGGTCTGTGTGGGCTGCAGCCAGCTCGGCTGAGGCGTGGCCTGTCACCTTAGATCCGTGTGCTGTGTGCAGTCGGGTGTGGCTGAGCTTGCACCTGTGCTGGGTGACCAGAGGCAAGTCACTCAGCTCCTCAGAGGCTAAGTTTACCCACCTCTAGAATGAGGCAGAGCATCAGTTCCCTACGACAGAGTCACAAGTTATCCCAAAGCTCATGGTTTGAAACGCAAGTGAGTGTGGGGCGGGAGTCCAGCTCGGAGGCGGGTCTGGATGGCTGGCGCTCCTGGGCTGTGCGGAGCCGTGGGGCTGGGGCCTCGGGCTCATCTCAAGGCTCAGCTCGGGGGATTTGCTCCCAAACTCACTCCAAGTGCTGTCCATTTAGCCCCTTATCACCTGGGCTTGTCCACAGGGCTTCCCCCCAGTGCAGCAGCTGGCACCACCCAGGGTTCAAGAGAGCGCCAGAGAGCACGGCCAAGACAGAGCCACAGCTCGCATCTTCTCTGCTCCTTCCATCCCTGGAATCTGGTCCTGAGTCACGCAGTCCAGCCCACGCCAGGGCAGGGCATTGCGCTGGGCATGAGCACCAGGAACACTGGGGGCCGCCCCTGAGGTTCCCATTGTGGCGGCAGCAGCACCCGCTGTGCAGAGCAGCCTTGAGAACTGAGCACCTGCAGCTCAGGGCCCGTCCCCCAGGGCCCGAGGCTCAGCGAGTGCAGGAACCTTCCCCTCCTCCCGCTGCGTCACGGCTTAATTCCTTCGTGTCGATGACGCCCCGTATGCATCCCAGGCTCGCTCTGGTGTCGAGGGACACACAGCTGAATGAGATTCAGCCCCTGACCTGGAGAATCCGCAGTGACGATGGGGCGTGGCAGGTGCTTTGATGTGGGGGAGGGAGGGGGAGGTGTCTTGCCGCAGTGAGCGTCATGGCAGGTGCCCGGGGGCCCCAGGAAGGCATCCTAGGCAGAGCCCCTCCAGTGAGCCCAGACGCGATCGGACGATTAACCCCGTTTGGTGCTACCGAGCCGTGCATCGCAGCGAGAGGGTGTGCTGCCTCTAGATGGGCCTTACGTAACAGGGATGCTGAGCAGCTGGCGCCCGCACACAGCCCTTCTTTTAAAATAGATTGCTTGTCTTTATATAGCCAAATGATTCTTTCTTCTGGCTCTGCCGTCTTACAGAGGCGCTGATGTAGGTCAGATATTGCTCGGTGAGAATTAATTAATCTATAATTGTATTGAAGGGGAGAAAAACAAGGAGATGCTCAGTGCATTGCACGGATCCAGAGCAACCTTGCAAAGGAAGCTTCAGGGAGAGCCACAGCTCCTGCTGCCTTGGACTTGCTGACCCTCGCCCTGCCCGCCGTTCACCCAGAGCCCTGCCCACCGTCCACCAGGGCCCTGCCCACCGTCCACCCAGAGTCCTGCCCACCGTCCACCAGGGAGCACGGGGCTTGGAGTCAGCTCCGAACTCCCATGCTACCACCTGAGGCTCCATAGTCCCCAGCCCCCTCAGGGTGGCCACCACTTGGCCTGCTCTGGCCCACCCTTGACTGGAGGCCTGGGCTCCTCTGTCAACGCCTGGGCCCTGCTCCCCACTGAGCTGTCCCCTCCCGTCTGCTGCCTGAGCCCCAGGCCCATTCCCGGCTCCCATCCCCCAGCTCCTGGTTCCTTCTGGCCCAGAGCAGCCCCAGGTCTCCCTCATGCACATCCCAGACCCTCTGTCCCCCTCTGCACTGAAGTCCTGCACTGAAGTCCTGGTCCCGGAAGCCCCTGTA